GAGCAGCTCTCGTTCTTTAATAAATTTATCTGCAGCTACACGCACCCCAGGGTGATCCCCCCGTCCCGGCCCGTCCGGGGATGGACGGTGGGTGAAGGTGGGAACGGCTGCGGGGGGGCCTTGGGCTGGTTGAGTTCCTTCAGGTGTCCCTGGGGACATTTTTGGGGCAGTTTCCAGAACCGAGACAGTGAGGGACAGCTGGATACTCAGCCCTCCAGGGTGGAGGAGCTGAACCGAAGGGAAACGAGTGCGAAGCACTCCCTGGATTCCAGACAGCGCTCTAACCCACAGAACATCATTAAATATTTAAACCTCCTCTGCCTAGCTGCCTGCCGTAGCTCTTCGCACCGTCTTGTTGCTGGTTCTGATGGTGACGGTGCAGCTCGCAGCCGGCCCCCGTTAGAAATAAGGAAAGGATGAGGAAGGAGGGTCTGTCTTCTTAAATAAAGAAATAAAATTTAGGAAGCATTACGGATTATATTAACCCTCTGCTAATTATTATTATTATTTACACCCGTTAAAATTAGTTGACGTCGTCTGGGATGGTGTAGCCGGCTGCTATGCGAAGTACGCCCAGAGGAAGATCCCGGCACACACACACAACAGCAGGTTGATGTTCAGGACGTGTTTCACCAGCGGTTTCTCCTCCAGGGAAGTCACGGGAAGCGGCTCGGGCTTCGTCGGCACCGCGCTCTCGGCATTTTCCTGTTTGCGCTCCATCCCGCAGAGCCACAGAAGGGCGGCCATCAGCCTCGAGCTCCCTTTGGCGCGAGTCGTACCTACAAAGACAGTCGGCAGCGGGGTGGAAACCTCCCCAGCAAAGCACATCCCTGGGGTGTGTCAGTGTGCTCCTGTGCATGGGGTTTGATGCAGGAACACGCCGGCATTCTTTACTGAACACACTAGCTACGCTGGGGTGTAGGAAGCCCTTCAGCTGGCATCTTTTGGGGCTGTAGGGCTGATTTCATTCTTCCCTGGAGCTCTGAGCTCAACTGCTGCTGTTCCCAGCGTTTAATAACAGTAGACCAAAGCTAAGAGCGGAGCTGTAGCTGCTCGGTGCCCATCAGCTGCCTCTCGCGGGTGCCTGCTCTAGTCCACGCAGGGTTACTCCACGCCACACACGTGGAAATTGAACTTTCCCGGCTCAGGTGTGGGTTAGGGCACACATGGCTAAACGCTGGGAGAACAGCACTCATGCACAGCAAACCTGAGACTTCCAGCAGCTGGGAGAGCTGCACGGTAACTCATTAACTGACTGATCTTTTCAACAGAGAGATCAAAGGAATTCGCAGCAAAAGCTGCAAAGTTACATAAACAGTGTCCCAAGCCTGGCAAAAACAGGTGATGGTAACCATCGCTGGGAAACGCGGAGTGAGGTGCTGTGTGTGTCTGTGCCTAATACCGACAAGCACAAGGTTTAAAAAATGTAAATCCTCCTTCACTGATCTGTCAAGAGCTCCGCCCAGGGCTCTGGGTTCTCCCTGCTGCTAGAGTCAATCAGAAAACATCACTGGAAAACAAAAATGGAATTTCGTGAAAGTAACTGTGGTTTTCCTCCACCCTCCAAGTTTCCCACCAGTTCTTGCCACGGGTGCCGGCGGCACCAGGCTCTGGTGCAGGACAACAGGCTTGGCTTTCTGTATCCCATCCAGCTCCTTCTTGATTTCAAGCATATGTAATGCCATCAAGAGATGGAAGAGAAACTAAACTTCTGCTTAGGTGACACTGTCGGGTAAAACCTTTTAGCATGCCCTGAAGTTACAGAAATCCAGAGGAAGCAGCGTTAACGTTTCTTGTCTTCAAAGGCTTTACGCCGTGCCTAGGGTTGGTAAGTGTGGGTGTGACTGGATGCGATCTCGGAGCACTTACATTTGTTATCATTTGAACTATTTTCAGAAGCAATGCTTATATCAATCTGGAGAGCTGGGCGCTCAGCTTCACACGCTCCTTTGGCAGCGGCAGGGGAAGGGCTGACTGCTAGGTCTTTCTTGGCCGGCAGATCCCCACGAGTGAACCAGGTAAGCCGACTTATCTGATGGCATGAAGAGTGGTGTTAAAGAGAACTGCTCTTGTGACTGTTTAAAGGACTAGCTTAGCGGCAGAGCATCCTGCAGAGAGAACACCGAGAGAGGCTGGGATCTGTCCTCCCGCTCTGCTGGAGCAGGGGAACAGCAGCGTGCTCGGCTGGTGGCGGCAGAAGTGACAGCTGCCGCCCGCGTGTCGGGTTTGGCTTGGGCTGGGCCACAGCAGCTGGTTGCACAGCCACGCTTTCTGAAGGACGGTGTTCTTCACTCTCGCTGGCTGAGGAGGAGACATTTCTGCATGGGACCAGCCCTGGAGGTAGACTGGGAGCGGGGTAGTGAAGGGAGCAAAAGAACAGGAATCGTGGCCAGGGAGGAACAGTTCACAGGATGGGGGTTGTTGGGAGAAGAGAAGACAGCGGGGAGGTAGGATAATTTTTCTTCAAATACGTAAAAGACTCGTTAAAGAGGAATATTCTCAGTATCAGCGACAGGGCGGACAGGAAGGGATGAGCACAACACGAAGCTGGAAAGATTCAGGTTGGAGATGAGGGAGAAGAGCAGCTGGGAGGGCAGGTGAGCGCTGGAATCCATCCCACCCGCCCTGGGGGCTCTCCCTCCCTGGGGATTTCTAAGAATAAGTTCACCGGGTCTTTCGGAAATGTGTTGGGTTAGTTCTGTCCCGAAGCAGGAGGATACATTGGCTGTGTGATTTCTGAAGGTCCCTCCTTTCTGCTAGTAACGTGTTTCTGTCACCTCGGTATATCTACTGAAAACAGTGAAACCGGCACAAATCTGTCCAGAGAAGTGTGCTCTCTGCCCTCGACTTTTCTGCGGGTAAAAGTGGCTCCTCGCTAAATTAGTAAGAGAGTTGATAAAGATGACCCAGAAGCTGGAATTTCTTGGAAAACAGAGGGAACAAGCTAATTTGTCATGGATTAAGCACACATGTTTGAAACTTAAGAACAGCTCTTTGTAGCATCTCCTGTTGACCAGTCCCCAGGGTGGGACTCTGGGTCTATGGGACCAAAATCTGAACCGGCAGCAGCATGCTGGAGCAGAGGAGGGACAGCTGCTACAGGTCAGTGCGAGTCTGATCATAAATACAGAACGAATGGAAACTTCCACGTCCACGTTATTCCCGTGGGTGTAATGTGGGGCATCCTGGAGACCGTGTACAAATACCGAAATAAATGCGAAGGGGTGACGCACCATTTCGTCCGAGGGGGGCTCCGTCAGCAGGCTGACGACCAGCACGGTGAGCGCGGAGATCACAGCCAGCACCATGGAGAAGTAGAGGTAGTGCATGTACTTCACCACGCCCGGCCGCGGGTCCGGCTCGCCGCACTGGGGCTCGGGGTAGATGAAGTCCAGCACCAGCCGAATGATGCCCAGCAGCAGCCCGATCACCAGGGCCCAGAACGCGCCCTGGGAAAGGGAGGGGGCTCTTCAGTGGGGCAGGCAGCGGACACCCACCCGGGAGCTGGGGCTGTACCCACGGTCTCAGGGTGCAAGCTGGCCAGGCTTCCTCCTGGCTGGATTTTTGGTGGGCTTCCCTCTCCCCCCCTTTCTGCTCTTGCTCTCTAGGTCCGGCCGTGCTGTTACAGCAGCCTGACACCTCTCCTCCTTGGGGCCAGGTCATTAATTTTGGGATGGAGGGGAAGGATAACGTCTTACGCCAGAATAACGTTGAAGAGTGGTGTTTGAATCCTGACAGTTCCCTTAACGCTGGGGGGCTGACAGCTGCTCTCCACCTAACCGAAGCCGGGTTTGGGAAGACTTCACCCTTTCCCCAGCACCAGCCTTTGTGGAGAAATGGGAGGTTTGGGACTCCTGGTGCCATTTGGCCCGGCTCCTGCACTCTGGGCTCCCTGTGCCTTCTGTAGCCCCCTGATAATACCAGTCTGTGTAATAAACCAGCTGAGGGCTAATAACCCCCTAACAGGCTTCAAGGTTTGCAAAGAGCACCCTACAGTCATCTCCCTGCTTCCGAAATGCCAGGGGAGTCTTTGAACAGCAGC